ATGGGCCTTTAACGGAGGTTATCCAAGAATGCAACTGCTGAAAAGAGTCGACTGTCCCTTTTATCAAACAAAAGGGACAACAATATTTCTTCTTGTAACTGAATCAATTCAGCTTTTATTGTGCAAGTCTTAGTTAATTTTTTTTTTCGAAAATTCTTTAGCGGGTTGAGTTTTTTCGCATTTGTTATGTGACTTTTACGCGATGACACGAAACGGTGACGCTTAATTCGATAAAATATTTGAATAATCTAATTGTTTTCTTATAAATCCGCCAATCGAACACTGTCAAGCTCACTTCACTCACTGTTCATCACGAAATAACCAAAGTTCGATATATCAAAATTCCAACTTGAATTCAAGGCTCCCTCTCTAACGGTCCAGACTGTCTCGGAATTCCCAGAAGAGACTAAAGCACAAAGAATAACAAACCAAATACAGACTGAAATATGACCATAAAGACTCACGCTACAATTTTCATATAACGAACCCAAGTTATTGACAACATGTAGCACGGCCTATCAAATTTTCGATTAGTGGGTGCTTGATTCATCACGCCTTAATAATGTACTATGAACTACTGTTACTAAAGTTGCTTAAGTTGAGGTATCTAGACATTGACTGTACACATTTCCCCGTTTTCAAGCGAAAATAGCAATCAGTTTAGTCGTGATGGGAATTCATAAACACGTAATTAAAATTTGGAGTAGACGTGAATAGACACCCTATTCTGGTTTTCGATTTCTCGGCTTTTGGTACAATCCTCATTTTCACAATTTATCTTTAAGGATTACCGTGTACTCTCGTCCCATACAGCGTAAAGGTCAATTCGTGAAGGACTTGCCCGCTGTAAAATGAAAATACTTAATTTTATCTGTAAAAAAAAAAAAAGTTCGCTAAAAACGCAACTGCTGTGTGTCGAATAAAGAACGTACGGAAGGGCGAGACTAACAAAGGTTAGTAGTGGCAAAGGTAAGTAAATTTAATGGTGTATACTTCCGTTTAGTTTTCCTGTAAATAAAGTAGAAAAAAAGTTGCCCAATGGCATTTTTTATTATTTTTAAGCTTAATAATATCAATAATTATAACAAAATACTGTAACAAGGAAATGCGATGACTGACTTTCTGGTCCTTTCTTAAGTCTCGCCCTGTGACTATGCTTCGAATGAACCCACCAAATCGTGTCACATAACGCTAAGGTAGCAATAAAACGATTTAATTAGTAAATTAAAATTTAAAACGTTTGGCTGCTGAACTTTTAGGAATATATTTCTGAAGATATATTTATTGAAAAAGGAAGAAGAGAAAGAAAATTTTTTTTTTTTTTTGGTTAAAAAGACATATGTTACCTCCGAGGGGGAACTACTCTTTGGAGAAATTTACTGTCAAAGCAGCCGGTGTCACGCAACGCGAATTCTGCATCAATATGCAAATTTGAGTCGAAACCTTCAAGTCTGAATCGCGTTGTGCCACAAGTTTTATGCCATAAATTGATAGAATACCTCTTTATCTTTAACCAAAACATGTTTTTAGGTCTAGGTTAGTTGCCACTTTTAAGAATTTTATGAAGTTCCTGAGGCATATTTTGGTGCAGTTTTCTTACTTGACTGAATTACGAGAATAAAGATAACTTGTTTTTGCTGATTACAGAGAGATAAGACTAAATCGTATTGAAACAGTAAGAGGAAACAATATACTTCCAAATGAGTGCAAATGGTCTAGGTTTTAAAGGACTGGTCATTATTTAGCGGGGGGAGGGCTACGAGAATGAGGAAAAGAGTCAGCCAAGAACTTGTGGCCCTCCCTTCGGAGAGTTTTAAAACCTTCAACCCCCCATCCTTACCCCATTTAATAAAATTGTGACCCTCCCCCAGGACAAAATAGTCGAACGGTTGTTAAAAAATAACATTCAATGTTTCTTTTTGCACGTCAAACTTTAATCAATAATAGACATATCTTGCAATTGCTTTTAATTTCCATGTCCTGCATGTTCTACCTAATTTGGTAGTACACAAGATGTCACTGATTTGTAGACCCTCATTGTCGCCGACATCATGGTCGTCATGATCGTCCTTCTCACTGTCTTCATCGTCCTCATAATCATTGCCAACGTCGCTTTCGTTGTCACTCTCGTCGTAATCTTGATCTGTATCACTTTTCTCGCCGGTATCTGTCGCTTCTTCTTGATCATTTTCTTCGCCAATTTCCTCCAGTACAACATCATTTTCATATTCGTCGTCTGATTCTTCATCCTCGACATCGTCTTCCTCGTCGTTTACCATATCTGCGCCGTTAACTAAAGATCTCGCAATGTGGGCAGCAACAATGTCTATTTTGTCACGTTTAAGTGTGGTCCTTGAACATCTAATGTTATTGTTGTCGAGGTAGAGATCAAGGAAGGAAATGGTTAAAAATAAGCGACGGGCATCACACGACTCCTGCACTAAGTCGTGTTGGAAGTAGTATGACCTTCAGAGCTTCGCTCTAACTAGTAGGTCCTTAAGAGATTTTCCCTTGCGATAAGATATGAAGGGAGGCTCCTTAAAGATTTCTCTTAGTCGTTGCTGGTTTTGTATAAGGTGCCATTTCCCCATAAGTATTCTCTTCAGGCTAGGTAAAGCCGGGTGGTATTGTGTAACAAAAGGTAGAAGTTTTTTGCGTGCGGATTTGTTTCTCTGTTGTAGGGCTGTTTTCGTTCCTGTCGGCAAATTTTACCTCAGAGAGGTACTTTCTTAAAATAGCGGCAGGGTAGCCTCTTTCTAACAGGCGGTTGTGACAATTTCTGATATTCCTCTCAAATGTGACCTGAGGAATTAGTCCTTAGAAGCCTGAGCGCTTCCCCTTTGATGAAGCCTTTTTTCACGCCTGGTGGGTGACACGAGTAGACGTTCGTGTACTGGAATGTTTCTGTTGGTTTGTAATGTGTTTGCACGTCTAGGATTGATTCCTTGTCGAATCTAACCCCTTTGTACACTTTTGTGTCCAAGAACGTGATTTCTGTTTCTGACATTTCAGCTGTAAACTTTATCGTTGCGTGAAAATTATTTGCCTTTTTCACAAAACTCTCTATTTTGTCTAGACTTGTGTTCCATAGCGAAAACACATCGTCAATATACCTTTTCCAAAAAAGCGGTTTGATGCAACTCTGACTCAATATTTGTTTTTCTATTCTGGCCATGAAGATGTTTGCAAAACCAAGCTAGCTACGACTAAATCCAAGGTCACTGAGCTCGGAGCAAAGGCCTCAAATATCTTTCAGGTTGATTATGCACCCTTAAAGAGGAAATCTCGTTGAAAAAAAAACAGAATAAACACCGCGCTGCAAAACGCAAGGCTGTTCGTACCTCTCAGAGGACGTCAGCAGTTTTACAAAAGATCACTGAATTGAATTAAATTGAATTAAATTGAATTATTAATTATAATAAATTATTGTTTAATTATTTTTATTATTGAATTATTGGTATCCCAAAATGACACATCTCAGCTAAGCAGTGACGCGAAGGACTACCTCGCAGGCTTACTAGGCAAGGAAAGAGGTGAAGCAACTTATTCCTCCCACGTCGACGATAAGATCGAGGATGATGAAGATCATGATGATGTTGCCTGGAGTGGAACAAGACAAAAGTGATGATGATGACTGCAGCGTTTCTGTACTGTCCAAACCAAGAGAGGCATCTTCGTCAGATATTGAAGATTATGGTCCATATTGGAATGATTCCTCAGAGTCCATGCCATACCTGGATCATCTTTCAGACTAAATTTCGAATATTTACGTTTTTCCTGGTTCATTTTGCTTGGTTTTCTTTCCTTTTCTTTAGGCTTAAGCCTGATTGTATCCTTTGTTTTTAAACCGCCTTTGATATCAAAATATTTTGCCTATTACCTACCCGTAATAGGCAAGAAAATCCTCCAAAAACACCGACAACAGCATCGTTATCTTTTGGTGACAGTGTACATGATCAAATGTTTCTATCAGTGCTGTTTACTAATGACTTTCTCTAACGTTCCGTTTTTAAAATTGTAAGAACTTTGCATTAGGAAGCAAATTCAGTTATTATGTGTTTTAGAAAACAGATATTCTTTATAGAGACTTTTTGTAAAACAGGACTCCATGTTTACATGTGTAATTACACAAAACGGATACAGTTGACTCAAATAAAGAGAATTGTGAGTGTGAAAACTTGAGGTAAATACTTGCAGAATACTTATGAGCTCAAAAATTCGTAGCCCTCCCCTCAAAGTCATTTTTAAAAAAATGGCCCTCCCCAAAGTGAGACTAAAAAAATCGTAACCCTCCCCCAAACATAGTAGCCCTCCGCCCCCGCTAAATAATGACAGGTCCCTAACGGCCCGTAGTAGCTTTCAACGATCGTTAAAAAAGCTGAATAACAGCGTCTAAAATTTGCATATTTTAGCCGGTAACGGTCGTTCAGATGAAAGGCTGAGAATGGCAGTAAAATAAACTATTTCCTCATTCTAACTGCAATTTAGTTCTAAGGATGGATAGTGGTATTGATGATATAAATATAGGACAAAAGTGTTTTCGAGCCTGAAATGGAGTGGAACGCTTTTAGGGACATTGCCTCTTAAATGCAGACTAACCACTCAAACTGTTCGGTAATCGAACTTTATCGAACTCAATCGAACCTAATCGAACCGGTCAGTATAAAACATGGACTGCAGACTGCGGACCACGGACTGTGAACTGTTTATAAAACACGGACTAGGTATAAAATGCAGACTAGAAACTACGGATTGAGTATAAAACACGGACTACGGACTGTGTATATAAAAACAGCTTTTAAGTTCGCCAATAGTTGCAGTTGAAGTAGGTGAAGCAACAACTGAATAGGTCCGTCCCTGTCAGGGAGAATAAAAGAAAACAGAGCCCTGTAACATCTTGTCTATTTGCTTATCAAGTGCCCCGGCCCCCCTTCACGCTATCAAAATTTGCAAAGACGTCTTTTTTTAAATTTCAAAATAGGTGACAGTGCACCCTTTAGTCAAAAAAACTTACCATAAGGACATGACCCAGCTGTCAAGGAAAGGTCGTCAATTACTATCTCACCAAAGTAACTGCTTCCCACTACGGCTTCAAATGTTACCTGTCAAAGGTGCAATCAGTCCGGAAGAGTCGCTGTTGTTATTAATGTCTTGAAATTAATGAAAAATTATCTTCGAATTTGTCAAAAAACTGCAAACTTAACAATAGAAATAAGGAAATGTCGGCTAATAGCAAAACAGATCCTCTTGGAAACACCAAGCGCATCATATTTTGCACTACATTTACGGACTTACTTGCACCACTATGAGTAAGAAAGAATAATCTTGCTATGACTAAATAATGTTACCAAATAGTACATCACTTATATTTCATGTGTGCTTAGTTTGTAATTAATGGTAAAGATGAAGTATTATAACGGATGTAGTCTTGTAGACTTTTTTAGTTTTTCATTACAGACCGAAGTACAGAAACTTATGGCTAAAGTAAGATTTGGAGAACATAAACTCGGGAACCGAAAGACGTCTTCTGGATGGTGGACCTGCGCACCCTTCAGACCAGAAAAGTCTTGTTATTGAAGGTGCTTTCAGTAAAACTGAAACTTCTACCACTTAAGGATCGCAGAGATGAATCTACGTAGTTTATATAAATTTAACTAAATAACAGCAAATGATGGCCAAGTTGTAACATACTTTCAGCGCGGGTAGGAGAGAACCCTGGGAACGAGTTTGGTTCGGAACCCTTTATTAAAAAACTCCCAGACCCGCAGCTGTACTTTAATGGCAATTAAATTAACAAAAAAAGTGAGCTATTAGTGGCTTATGGCTCCCAACCCGGTTGGCTTCCCCAATTACCGCTCTCAGAGAACAGCGTTTTACCACCACTGTGGGGTCATTAAAGTTTAAATTCTAATTTTACTTTCAATATTTTCATTATCCTAATTTATTGTTAAGCATTTTTTATGATAAAAATAAAGATTCGGTTGTTGTTATTGTTGTTGTTAGAAGAGACACAAAAATAACGCATGGCTTACCCTATGCAATCCCTCGATAGCTGATACATTTACGCAGGCTTTACGCCCCATGTCTCCTTTATCACCACGTGCAAAGAACACTAAGTTCCCACTTACGGTGACTTTCAGGCTTTTAGTAGTTACACCAGACATACGGTAATAGAACTGAAGGCACATATTGCCAAAGAATTTCAGTGGAGGACTGTACATTTTTTCGTTATCACCTGGAAGGGGAAGAAAAATATTTTTTTTTTCGGTAAAAAAACATATTTTACTTCCGAGCGGCAACTATTTGGAGACATTTACTGTCAAAGCAGCCGGTGTCACGCAACGCGAATTCTGCATCAATATGCAAATTTGAGTCGAAACCTTCAAGTCTGAATCGCGTTGTGCCACAAGTTTATTGCATAAATTGATAGAATACCTCTTTATCTTTAACCAAAACATGTTTTTAGGTCTAGGTTAGTTGCCACTTTTAAGAATTTTATGAAGTTCCGGAGGAACATTTTGGTGCAGTTTTCTTACTTAATTGAATTACAAGAATAAAGATAACCTGTTTTTGCTGATTACAGAGAGATACGACTAAATCGTATTGAAACAGTAGGAAGAAATAATATATTTCCAAATGAGTGCAAATGGTCTAAGTTTTATCCACGGCCCCTAGTAGCTTTCAACGATCGTTAAAAAAGCTGAATAACAGCGTCTAAAATTTGCATATTTTAGCCGGTAACGGTCGTTCAGAGATGAAAAGCTGAGAATGGCAGTAAAATAAACTATTTCCTCATTCTAACTGCAATTTAGTTCTAAGGATGGATAGTGGTATTGATGATATAAATATAAGGCAAAACTGTTTTCGAGTCTGAAATCGAGTGGAACGCTTTTAGGGACATTGCCTCTTAAATGCGGACGTAACCACTCAAACTGTTCGGTAATCGAACTTTATCGAACTCAATCGAACCTAATCGAACCGGTCAGTATAAAACACGGACTGCAGACTGCGGACCACGGACTGTGGACTGTTTATAAAACACGGACTAGGTATAAAATGCAGACTAGAAACTACGGATTGAGTATAAAACACGGACTACGGACTGTGTATATATATGTACAAACAGCTTTTAAGTTCGCCAATAGTTGCAGCTGAAGTAGGTGAAGCAACAACTGAAAACGTCCGTCACCGGCGGGGAGAATAAAAGAAAACAGAGCCCTGTAACATCTTGTCTATTTGCTTATCAAGTGTCCCGGCCCCCCTTCACGCTATCAAAATTTGCAAAGACGTCTTTTTTTAATTTCAAAATAGGTGACAGTGCACCCTTTAGTCAAAAAACTTACCATAAGGACATGACCCTGCTGTCAAGGAGAAGTCGTCAATTGCTATGTTGCCAGTGTACCTGCTTCCCACTACGCCTTCAAATGTTACCTGTCAAAGGTGCAATCAGTCCGGAAGAGTCGCTGTTGTTATTAATGTCTTGAAATTAATGAAAAAGTATCTTCAAATTTGTCAAAAAACTACAAACTTAACAATTATAATAGAAATAAGGAAATGTCGGCTAATAGCAAAACAGATCCTCTTGGAAACACCAAGCGCATCATATTTTGCACTACATTTACGGACTTACTTGCACCACTATGAGTAAGAAAGAAGAATCTTGCTATGACTAAATAATGTTACCAAATGGTACATCCCTTATATTTTATGTGCTTAATTTATGATTAATGGTAAAGATGAAGTATTATAACGGATACAGTCTTGTCGACTTTTTTAGTTTTTCATTACAGACCGAAGTACAGAAACTTATGGCTAAAAGCAAGATTTGGAGAACATAGACCCGAGACCCGAAAGACGTCTTCTGGATGGTGGACCTGCGCACCCTTCGGACCAGAAAGTCTTGTTATTGAAGGTGCTTCCAGTAAAACTGAAATTTCTACCACTTAAGGATCGCAGAGATGAATCTACGTAGTTTATATAAATTTAAATAAATAACAGCAAACGATGGCCAGGATTGGTGAAAACTATCAGTGGTAAACAGTTGTAACATACTTTCAACGGTGAGCACAAGTTCGGAACCCTTTATTAAAAAATTCCTGGACCCGCAGCTGTACTTTAATGGCAATTAAATTAACCAAAAAAGTGAGCTATTGGTGTCTTATGGCTCCCAACCCGGTTGGCTTCCCCAATTACTGCTCTCAGAGAACAGCGTTTTACCGCCATTGATGGGGTCATTAAAGTTTAAATTCTAATTTTACTTTCAATATTTTCATTATCCTAATTTATTGTTAAGCAATAAGTTGATAAAAATAAAGATTCGGTTGTTGTTATACAGTTGTTGTTAGAAGAGACACAAAAATAACGCATGGCTTACCCTATGCAATCCCTCGATAGCTGATACATTTACGCTGGCTTTACGCCACATGTCTCCTTTATCACCACGTGCAAAGAACACTAAGTTGCCACTTATGGTGACAGTCAGGCTTTCAGTAGTGGCACCAGACATATGGTAATCGAACTGAAGGCACATATTCCCAAAAAATTCCAGTTGAGGACTGTACAATTTTGCGTTATCACCTGGTCGTCTTGGATTGGATGCTTCTATATACATGTAATAACCTTATAGGGATGAAGATGGTTAGAGAGTAGCAACTTAGTCTTTTTCGGTAGAGGACGGTCCAATTTTGTCATATCATTCAGCTCTCTATCGTGGACTAAATATTTCTAAAAAATGCACATGTAATAACCTACAAAGAGGAAAAGATGTAAGGAAGGCAGCAAGAAAAGAAATTGACCAGAAGGCACTGAAAAAGTATCCAGTTGACTTAAAACAGTATTCTAACAACGTTAGTTCAGCTTAAATGACGTAGAATGATCATCTGAAGTACCTATTAGTAAGTTCCCAAGTTTCCTTTTATTCGTTTTATTTTTTTCTTTGAAAACAGACGTATTATATTCATGGTAGAATAAGAGGGCAAATGACAACAAAGCCCACGGATGTAAAGAGTAACTGCAACCTTGTAGTTGCACCGATCCGAAGAGGCAGTCGAAATTAGATACTCTCGCCTACATTTAATACACCTGTGCAACGTACAAGCAACAAAAAAAAGAAACAAAAACGAGCAGTTTAATCTAAGAAAACAACAGCAACAACAACAACAAAAAAAAGGGGTAGAAAAGAGTGGCATGTAATTAAATCTGCAAGACTAAAACTAGCGATATTTTCATGCTAAAAATGAAGTAGAAATGCCGACCAACTGGCTGTTAAATTTGTTATACGTTATAACAGTTCTCGTTGCTAATAGTAGGACTGGCTAAAAGTTATGAGCTCACCGGTCAAGTTTCCAGTGGTGTGATTAAAGGAAGGTCCTGTATCGGTAGAAGGTGTGCTTCCCTTGTGTCGAGTCCAATCAAACTTGTCATTAATGCCTTGCAGGAATCCGCACATTGAAACATCAAAGTTGCATATTGTTTCAAAGTTGCCTATATTTTCTAAGTTGAACAAAACAAATAAATTCTCATATTAAAAATTGAGCCTTTTTTCGCCTGGGGTCAACGATCACCTCAAAGGCATGATACAATCCTAGAAAGTACAATTACACAGGCTGACCACGAGTTAGTTAAGAGCAGTGAGGCTTAACCTTAATTAACACCTAGGCGTAAATGCAAGCGTAATAAGGGAACATGCTCTCCAAGTAATATTGGAATTCAGGTCTTCTAAATTGACTAGAAATGCATCCAAGAATGGCTCGGCTGCTATATTTACTAGGAGGAGAGGCGCATTGTTTCCAAAATATTTGGGTTGAAGGGCTTCATAGCCCGTTGCTTATTTAATAAGTGCGGGCTTTATTTATTTATTTCTTGCTTCCTGTACACTGCAAAACAATCGGTTTTTTTTCCTCAAAATCAGTAAAGAAATTGGTAAAGCGTGGCGTAAGAGTCTTACGCGCGCGAAGCGCGCGAGCCTTACACGCCCGTAGGGCGCGTTTGGCGAGAGAGAAAAAACCGACTGTCCTTTTTCCATACAATGAGTTCGCTCCGACCCGGGGGTTCAAAAATGTCGTCGAGCTGTCAAAAATCTGTTGACAACTCCGCCCTCTTTGTGAATTTGATACACTCGGTGATTGATTTGGAGGGAGAATAGCTCGTGTTATTGTCTGCATTTGGCTTGGAATCTTGACGCTGTAATCCAGTAATTCTAAAGCAGTTTTTAGCGTTGCTTCTCTGTGGAATGTAGTGTATATAGTGAATTATTAAAAACTGAATCATTGGATAATGCAATTCTAGCATTTTGATTGGTTTAGCCGTTATGGTATATGAGCTATTATACCATGCTCTCCATATATGGACGGTGTACGCGTCAGTTTAAAATTAGAAGCTAGCTGACATTTTTTTTCGCGAAGGATAGAACTACAATTTCATGGAAAGAAAAAAGACAAAAACAAAAAAAAAAAGCCACAAGAGCTTGTTTGAAAGTTTGTCGAAAAACACATGAAAACACATGGAACTAAAGTACCTTGACCAGCTACGAAAGAAGACACGTGTTGTTTCTTCATGATCGCGAAGCCATTCGCCGATCGAGTCACACTCGCCGATAGATAACTGCGGCTTGTTTATCCGACATCAAGATAATAAATCACAAGTAACCAGCTACAAATACAGGCTATGCAGCCATTCACTAGAGCAATCGAGGCGGCAGTGTAGCTTCTTTTCTCGTTCAGCAAAACCAGCTTGTGGCTTCAAACAACTTCATAACAAGCGACTCAGGTAATAGTATTTCTTCGTTGTTCTTACTTTTATAACTGCACCAAAAATCCAAATTCACAGTAATTTCGCCGACTGTCACTTAAAAATTCTTTTCCTTCACATTATCTGCCAGGTTTTTTTTAGCTGTTCTGCTGTGTAAAATCCTAGAATCCCGATGAATTTTTAAACAACTAATGTTCATCGCTGCAATGTTTTGATTTTTCATTCATGCAGTCCAGGCGAGTCCCTTTGCGCGTTGACAGACGTGTGACATGTGAATAGCGGAAGTCCCTTGTCTTTTCCGGTTTGTTCTAGTCGGGGAGATTCAACGAGATTTTGTGGGCGTTTTTAATAAAACAATTATTCCACTCGCGCTTGTTGGATATGAAATGATTATAGCCAACGAGGCGCGTAGCGCCGAGTTGGCTATCTATCATCTCATATCCAACGCGCCCTCGTGGAATAATTGTTAAACGTAGTATATATAGTGGAGGATCAAAAATGAGTGGAAGTGGCAGTACGACAACAAAGCCTGTGCCTGCTCCTCGAAAAGGGAGAAAGCCGGAAGAGCCGAGGGGTTTAGTCCAGTCAATCTAGGCATTTTTTAGGCTCAACATCAAACTAATTGCAACGGAATTGTTTTCAACGCCATTTAAGTAAGGGTGGCCTATCTAGCAACACACTAAAAATCCGCCCAAATCCGTTAGGCGGAACATGTCAAAATTAAGCGTTAAACATTTTGAGCTATTAACACAGGGAACCCACGTTAGTTAATCATTAGCTTTTAAAATATATCCTTTTTTTATCAGATTTCTGTTGGCCGCAAGGGTAGGAAAAATATATATCAGAGCTGGATTTTTGAATAACGTTACAACCAAAATAAAGAAGTCAACATAGGGAGGTGGGGAGGGGTCCACCTGTCGGCTGACGGTCAAAATTCAGTTACTCAGTTACTTTGTCGGTAGTAGGTTAACATTTTCGATATATGTCGATTGTCGGTAAATCTCGGTTAATAGTGGAGCCTCTGCGCGCGCGAGCGTGGAGCTTCATCCCTAAGAGAAAATGGAAAACTGTCGATGCGAGAAATTTGGTTATGACGTCACCGTACGTCCCTCCGTACGTCCGTGCGTTCTTTCCTGGTAGGGGTAAGTAGAAACGAATTCATCCTCTCTCCCTTAGAGAGTTTTGTTCCCTATTGTTTCAAAAGGCTTTAGAAATGATTCATTGCCCAGAATGCTATCGTCTTTTGCGACATGTACTTACAGTGCCCAGTTTTTTAATCCGCGGCATAATAATTGAATAACTAAGCTATCGGAATGCCGACTACTTCCGTAAAAGGATTGCTAGCTGTCAATGAAACGGTTTGAATACCCTTAGAATGATCTGACTGATCTGACTGCGTGCGACGGCTAAACAGTTTCTCTCAATACATAAAAAAGCGTTGTCAAATAGCAAAAGAAATGAGCGGAACACTTCCTTTTGTTTCATCGTTGCGTTCCGTTGCGTTTCAGTTTCGTTGAACCAGTCAAAGCAGCTTATATTAAAGACGCGCTCTTTTACTCGACTGGTTTGTGCACTCCATGCATCAGTTTCTATTTGTAAAACGATGGAAGTGAAGTAAATGCAAGAGAGGATAATCATTTTCCCTGGGTATGAAATTTCTCTTTGAAGTCCTGAGTTGGTTAACATGTAAAAACATTGAGGAAACATTGTATAAGTTAATTATTCAAGTTTAGATCCGTTTCAAAACATTAATCTGCAGGCGGGAGTTTCAAACCAAGTCGAGCGTGTCCTCGGGCTTTACGAACGTAAACGAACAGGAGTACTTTCAGAAATTGACGAAAAGCCAGAACGTCCACACGACGTAATCAGAGAGTCTTCCTTAATAGTCAGACTAACATATCCATATGCTGACACATGAACAAAGTGACTTGCCGAACAAATATTTGGCCTCAAACGTGACCTCCCATACAAAAAAGTGACTAAACTGGTCGATTTTCAAAGCGGAAAAGCCAGAACTTCTACAAGGAGGACATAGTACTTATTCATGTGTTATTTTTCATGTCAAGCACAAAAAAAATCACCATTTCTCGTGGTTTTAACCTGATGTCTAATTCTCGGCAAAATCCAAGATGGCGGCTAAGATGGCCACGATTGTTGGTGACATCATAGGCCTCCAAGAGCGCCACCACCTATTAAATGTACCTCATCTTGTTAAGAAGGTCAAAGACTTTCCACTGTTTCGAAATACTAGAACATATCAAAAACTCTAGGGGAGGGTTCCATCCCCCCCCACTTGTACAACTGTGGTAGTGTGAATTTGAGTGTACGTCCGAGCGTTAATAACGATTAAGTATATCTAGCCGAATTTTTGAAAACATACCTCAAAATGCACCAGAATATTCGCACAGAAAGCTGGCGATAGCCAGCTTTCTGGTCACTGCGGTGAGAACAAACATAGGGGGCTTGCTGTCCTGCTTGGTCTCATTGTCAAGTTCAGTCCCTGAGCTAACTCGCCATGGGTTGGAAAGGGGCCTCCATGTCAATCCCTAGGGGGGGGGGAGGGTGCTGCAAAAGCGTTGTACCTTCCGTTAGTGCTGGTCTGGGAGGGTCAGTGCACTGGTCATGTCTGCCTTTAGTTTGTCATGTCAAATTCTTGTAACGTTTGAGGCCCATTGGCCAATGAAAGCATTCCCCTCAAGCACGTGCTAGGCTGGGGGGGGTGGAGGAAGTCAGGGTGGGTTATTTAACCTTGAATTCTCTGCTTAGAACTTGCTGAAGTCTCAAGCGTCCTCCGTCATTCAGGGCCTTTAAGCAGCTAGAGTGTATGGACAAGTCCAGAGTGTCTTTTTGATCGACTTGAATGTTTTTTTTGCTAATCAGGAACCAAGAAGAGGGTCACCTTAAGAGAACCATGGGTAAGAGCTGAGTTTCTTGGCGATATTTACTTTAGTTGAGTCAGTTTAAGGTGTGTGGGCTCCTGGTGTCCGATGTTACGGTTTTCATAAATTCGGCTAGATATATAAAGACTGCCATGTTGGTTTTTGCATTTTGCCTTTAAGTCGGCTGAGACATTACTTATCAGTGGATGTCTGCATTCCTTATAACTTAAAAAGTGAAATATATTATTTAATAATATCAAAGTCTTTTTCAAGTTCCACTGTTTGTACAAGCTAAACTGACATCCGAACAAAACGCGACAAGGTGAGAGTCAAATCAGCTTTTCGGCTAATTGTGTCTTTTGTTAGAATTCAATCTTTAGGCAATCAGTAAAATTAGGAAACAAATTTTCAGAAACTAAACAGGCTCTTGCCGTTTTTCTAGCTACAAAAAGCCGCAGACGCAATTGTATATGGTAAAGACTGCACGTACCCTAATATCCATCCACATGATGGGTGTTTTCTGTAAGCTCTGTAATTTTTGACAGTACAGTGTATTAAAAAAATCTTATAGAAGCGGTTATTTTGTGCAACATACACTTTACTAGACATTCTTGGACAGTAACTTTAATAAAATCTTTCAATCTATGCTAGTTTATATTATTATGAAGCACACAACTGACGCGAAAGGCAGACATTTCATCCAGCCTCGTTTTCATGTTGTGCTTTAGGGGAGATATGGGGTTGTAATAAAACCCGTTTTTAGCAACTTCCCCCACAGGGATTTCCAGGGACTTTTGATATGTTGTAGAGGACATGTTGCTGAGTCAAAAACCCTTAAAAAACCTTCTTTTGCAATTAGTGACAGGTTGACCTATTTGTTTTCGCAAAATGCCTGGACTATTAATTATTATAGTTGATATGTATTGCACCCAGTTTCAAGACTTTGATTCTTATAAAACGTAAGAATGCATCATTCATTGTACTTTTAAAATTTCATTTCATTTAACTACGTATTGTTTATACAACATGATCGTTTATTTCACCTTTAGTAGTATTAGGGGGTGGTTTGGGGCAGGTACTCCTTCATGTAAGTGTCACGAAATGTCCTCTAAGAAAAAAGTGAGGGGAGGGGTGGGTTGAAAGGGGGATACTTACCTGGGGTTAGGGTTAGGGTTAAGGGTTAAGGGTTAGGATTAGGGTTAGCCTTGTGGTACGGGCAATTCACGAGGGCGCATGCGCGTCATCGAAGGTTAGGGCTAGGGTTAGGGTTAAGGGTTAAGGGTTAAGGGTTAGGATTAGGGTTAGCCTCGTGGTACGGGAAATGGGCGCATGCGCGTTGTGGAAGAAGAAAAAGGGAAGGCTGCGTATTATCCGTTCTAAGGACGGGGCCCCTATAGTTCGCCGCGCCTAGACAAATACTCTCGATGAAGACATGTGCACGAAGACGAAAAAGGAAGAAAGATAGGGCAGCAAAAGAAGAAGAAAAAGAAAGAAAGAAAGAAAGAAGGAAAGAAAGAAAAAGAAGAAGAAAAAGGAATGGTTCCCAGCAAGGATCCACTCCGGAAGCCCGGGGTGGAGTCGAACCACCAACCTTTCGATTTGGAATCGAACGCGCTACCCCTTGCGCTACCGGGCTTGACACATGCAAACACTCGCACAATTAGCACCAAAAATCCATTTTTTATTTCTATTTTTACAGTGTACCGTTTACATCTCAAGTTTAGGTCCGAGGCTCTTGGAGCCGTTGCTGGAGGAGAGGGACTTGATAGGGATTCAAGGGGGAGGGCCGTCACTGTTCAAGAGGTCGCAATGTTGGCCGTGCGTCCAGAGGGCAAGCTAAGGGGGCCCTGGGAGACCCGCGGTATTCTAGTTGACAAGGTACGCGGCCAGCTGAGTGGTGATGAGCTTGTTGGGTAAGGCATTCCTGGCAAACACGCCTTGAAAACCAGGCCGTAACACGGGATGGTTTCGCGCCAAATAGTCCAACTGCACGTTCTTCAGAGGTCCTTGCTCCATCTTTCTTCTTGTTCTTTAGATATCGCCGATAGGGAAGAGAGGCAATCCGTAGAGGACGTTCTTCGCAAGGGGTTTAACAGGGGTCGTAGAGTAGGCGGCATGCATCGTTTCAAAGAGCAAGTCGGGGGGGGGTACCAAGACGGATAGCTCAGAGATTTCTAACACGACACGAATGAACCACTAGAAGAGACGCCGCTTGTAAGAGACGTCACACATGAACGCGTTCTTGGCCAATCAGAGCGCGAGAGGTACTCATAGATTTATCTATGCCCCGTGGGACCGCATACAGGTGGTACTCTGACAGGTGGGACAGAGTAAATGATTATTCTAGGGCGCATGCGTTCTTTCCCAAAGGTTTGCACAAAGAGATCGTAGAGTGCCTCCCACAAGAGAGTCTCTTGCTTGGGCCTTGATAACCTAGGGTGTACGGTTCGGGTAAGTATCTTTGCAGAGCTCTCTGTACCTTAAGGTGAGTGGTTCTTTTTAGGCTGGCAACTTTGCTCGAGTCTCACAGGGCTCTGTACGAAAACTGACGTGATATCTGTTCTTTTCAGATTGGAATTTAAGCAAAGAATTTACTGCAATTGATTGGGTGAGTATTTTTTCTCTTCTGTTATTGCTTTCTATTTTTGTATCGTTTTTCTTACGAACTTCTTGCCGTTGTCTTTATTGTATTTTGACCGAACGCAGTGCAAACATGCCATTAATTGCGGTGTTTTCTTCTTGCTTTAGGTGTGTGTGTGATTTTAAATAATTTTATTCTCGCTGGTTGCCTTTTTAGTAAGTATTTTATTCCTTGTTTCTTGTCTTGAGGTTTCTCTCTCTAGTTGATCGTTTTCTTATGAACCTCCTGTATTTTGTCTTGAGAATATTTTAGCCGAAGGCAGTGCAAACTGGTTATTGATTACGAATTTTCTTTCTTTTTACTTTAGGTGTGTGTAAATAATATTCTGCTTGCTGATTTGTTCCTGCTGCTTTTGCTGATTTTTAGTAAGTATTGTATCCGTTGAGTTTTCTCACGAATCTGCTGTCGTTGACTTGAGAGTATTATGGCCGAGCGCCTTGTCAGCGCAAACATGTCATTGATTGCGGTGTTTCTTTCTTCTTGCTTTTAGAGTGTGTAATTCGTTTTTGCTGTTCTGCAGATTTGTCTGTTGGGTAAGTATTCGTTCTTTTCTTGCTTTACGGGGAACCTTAAAGCGAAAGGTTTAACGTGTTCGTTGTAAGTTTTTCTCACGCTTCGTCTTCAAACGCTAGGCGTTCTTTTTTCGGCTAAGGTTTGTTTTATTTGGCTGCATTGTAAGAGCAAATACTTGCCGGATATTTTTTCGATACGTAATCTGTGGATGTAATGTTGCCCAAAAACTCATTTTGTAAAACGCTCACGTACAACTTTTCAGTATGCTAATTGGGTGAAAGTCATTAGGTTTGGCTAACAAAAGAACTTTTCGAGACGCAACGGCTCTATTGTTTCGATGTTGGCGGTGCGGGGTTAATGAAGTATTCATCCAAAAACCTATTGTTCCCATTTGGCGGGGACGTGTTCATAAGGTGTGAATGCCGAAAAAAAAACCTATTGTTTCGATGTTGGTGGGGTGGTGTTAATGAAGTATGGATGCAAAACAAAAGTAGGTGAGCCTTTTTTAATTTTTCATGTCGAAGAATGGACCAAACCTTGGAACCCTTTTCTGATGCTACTGTTGCCGCTGCCTTGAACGACCCCGTGGAAGACGCCGCCTGTTTAGCCGCCCTACAATCCTTCGAATCTTCCTCTGATCCTACTGTTGCCGCTGCCTTGAGCGACCCCGTGGAAGACGCCGCCTGTTTAGCCGCCCTACAATCCTTCGAATCTTCCTCTGATCCTACTGTTGCCGCTGCCTTGAGCGACCCCGTGGAAGACGCCGCCTGTTTAGCCGCCCTACAATCCTTCGAATCTTCCTCTGATCCTACTGTTGCCGCTGCCTTGAATGATGCGGATGAAGATGCCGCTTGCTTGGAGGTTCTGCAAGCCTTAGAAGGTCCTGTTGAAGCGGCCCTGAATGATAGCGCTGAGGAGGCGGCTTGCCTAGAGGCTCTACAGGCCGCCGAAGTCGACCAATTGCCTTTAGAATTTGAACTCATTCCACACGTGGATCGACGAGTCCGTAAATTTGGCCTGCATCGCCGTGTGTTTACCACGCGCCTCGTCCAACGTGGAGGTGCCCTTCGCCCCGAACTGATTCCGCGAGACCAGCTTCCATCCTTGTTGGATCAAGCCTTGCAGATCGCCATCCAGCGCCAAGTGTTGGACCAACCGGGGGTTCACGACAACGACCATCTGATGATCAACATGAGTTCTAACAGACTACAACACGCCTATCAGTCTTCCCGAGTCAGAGTCCGCGATTGGATCCAGGATACGGAACCCGCCCAAATGATGATGCAACAAATAAGTAACATTTTAAACTCCAACGAGAACTTTGCGATCGATGATAGCTTCCATATAGAAGTCAGCCATATCCGAGACAGTGGGGTCGGGTCAGGCAGTCGCGGCCAACGGCCCGGCACCCAACCCATTGAACAATTTTTACGCGACAAAAAATCCGTCGTACGTATTCAAAACGACGATGAATTGTGCTGTGCCCGAGCGTTGGTCACCGCCAAAGCGTACCGAGATTGGGGCAGCCGTGACCCTCACTACAAGGACATCATACGAGGGGGTGCCTTTCAAAGAAACATGGCCAAGACCCTGCACCGCCAAGCCCGTGTGCCTGAAGGACCTTGTGGGCTCGGGGAACTGGAACTTTTTCAAATTGTATTGACCGAATACCAAATTGTGGTGGTGTCCGCCGACCATGGGTATCAAATTATTTTTAAAGGCCCTCGCCAACCCGACCACAAATTACTCTGCCTGATCAAAGTCCAGGACCATTACCATGTATGTCATTCCCTAGCCGGCTTCTTTGGCCGAGTCTATTACTGACTGGACTGTGAAAAATCCTTTAACAGCGATGATTTGCAACACCACCGTTGCCCAGGCCAGAAATGTACCTGTTGCCACTAAGCCCATTGCTGCGACTTTACCACCGCGGCTGGACCAGCCGCCGTCCCATGCCAAGAATGCAAGCGTTTCTTTTTCGGCGCCGACTGCCTCCTGAACCACCAGACCCATACCAGTGCCGGCCGTGTGGCGTCCACCCCTCAAATGGCCGTGTGCAGTACCTACAGGCGTTGCCCCGACTGCCAGACATTGTGCCAAGGATTAGCCCTCCAAAGACACAAATGCGGGTACGGCAAATGCCCGTCCTGTAAAGAATATGTGCCTACAGACACTCATCGATGTTACATTCAGCCCATCGTGGATTCGGTTCCACAGTCGGGAACAGATAGGTTTGCAGGACCGCTAAGCAGGCCCCGCCGTGGAGCCGCCGCCGGGTTGGCCACTCTACAAGCCAACACGAGCCTTGATGAAGCTGAGCCTGATCCAGCCCAGGATGACACTACAAACGTCTTGCCACACCCATTATTCCTCTACTTTGACATACAAGCCCCCAAGACACAGGCGAGCACGTGGCCAATCTCCTCTGTGCAGAAACCAGTGAAAGTGATGAACAGTTCACCTTTGCGGGTGAATCCTGCATCGAGACCTTCTTAGACCGGGCACGGTCCTTGACGCGGACCCCTAACCCGCACGTCAAACGAAACGTGATTTGCCTGGCCCATAATTTTAAGGGATATGATTCCTACTTCATTTTAGAACAATGTTACCAGCAGTACGTGAAACCCGAGCAGTTGGTCAATGGCGCCAAAATTTTGTCTCTATCACTGGCGGGCCTTCGCTTCCTCGACAGTTTGTCCTTCTTGCCAATGCCCTTGGCAGCGTTTCCCAAAGCCTTTGGATTGACGGAACTGAAAAAGGGGTTTTTTCCCCATTTTTTTAACACGGCCGATCATCAAGACTACGTGGGACCCATCCCTGCCCAAGATTACTACGACCCTCGAGGCATGAGTCCCGCCCGTGAAGCAGAATTTGAAGCATGGCACGCCACCCGTGTTGATGAACATTACCAGTTCAATTTTCAAGAGGAACTACTTAGTTACTGCCAAAGTGATGTTCGCCTCCTTAAAGAAGGCTGTACCAAATTTGCCGCCGAATTTCAACAACTGGCGGGGTTTAACCCGTTTGAACATTGTGTGACCATCGCCTCGGCGTGTAATCGTTTTTTCCGAAAACATTGTTTGACCCCAGGCACCATTGCCTCGGAACCCATCCGAGGCTAGCATCACAAAGGCAAACCTTTTTCCCGGGCCGCCACGGAATGGCTCCATTGGCAAGAGCACGTGGAGCGAGAGGCCAGACATGCCGCCATCACCCCCGACGAGTGGGAGCACCATGACCGGATGGCTCAAGCTTATCCTGACTACCCTCATCCGTTTATGGAAGAAGATTACATTCAGCATGCCAAAAATAAAGGGGAACTGACGCTCCTGATCGCCTGCAAGCCCGTGCGCGTGGACGGCTACAATCCCACCACACGCACCGTCTACGAATTCCACGGTTGTTTTTTCCACGGGTGCCCTGCCTGTTTTCCGAACCGCCAAATCCAGATCCGGATGCACGATCGCCAGACCATGCATGACCTGTACCTTCGCATCCAGGCGAGAGACCAAGCCATCGTTCAGTCCGGGTACGCCCTCCAAACCATGTGGAAGTGCGAGTGGAAGCGTCTCAAGGCCAGCCGCGAGGATATCCAAGGGTTCGTGGACGGGTTGGGGCTCGTAGACCGCCTGGAACCTCGGGACGCGTTCTACGGAGGACGCACCGAGGCCGTGACCATGTATGCCACCGCCGATCCAGACGAAGGCGAGTCCATTCAGTACCTGAATTTTACCTCCTTGTACCCCTGGGTCAATAAAAATTGCACCTACCCTGTGGGCCATCCAGTCATCCTGACAGAACTTGGTTCCACCGACTTGTCTTCTTACTTTGGCTTGGCCAAAGTCACCGTGCTGCCGCCCTATGGGTTGTACTTGCCCGTGCTGCCCTACAGAGCCCAAGGTAAGTTGTTATTTCCCCTGTGTCGATCCTGTGTCGAAGACGAATTGGCCAAACCCCTCTTAGAAAGGAGTCATGACTGCCCTCACGCGGACAGAGATCGCGCTCTGACTGACACGTGGACCACCATAGAATTGGAAGAAGCCCTAGCTCAAGGGTACGATGTATTACAAGTGCATGAGATCTGGCATTTTCCACAGACCTCCACCCAATTGTTCGCCCAATACATCAACACCTTCCTCAAGATCAAACAGGAAGCCGATGGATGGCCCGCCGAAGTAGGTACAGATGAATTGAAACGACAGGAATACCTGGCCAATTACCTCGAGCCCTTGAGGGGTCCAGCTGGACTACGCCCAGGTGGAAAAGAACCCTGCCAAACGAGCGTTAGCCAAATTGATGCTCAATAGTTTTTGGGGCAAATTTGGCCAGGCCAGCAACAAATCGCAAGTGGAAAGCATTTCAAGTCCGAACAAGTTTCACCAGCTCCTCAACCAAGATGACACCCATATCCACGCCATCCGTGTCGTGAATGAAGAGATGTTGGAAATCGTCTATAATAAGATTGCCGAAGCCGCACCCATCCAACCTCACATCAACATTTTTATTGCCGCCTTCACCACCGCCCATGCCCGTCTCCACTTGTACAGAGAAGCCCTGTTCCTGTTACAGCCCCAGCAAGTTTTGTACATGGACACGGACAGCATCATTTACAAACATGCTCCAGGGCAACCGACCCTCGAGACAGGAGCGTAACTGGGACAGTTCAAAAATGAATTGAACGAGGGAGACACCATCTTGGAATTTGCCACGGCCGGGCCCAAAAATTACGGCGACGTCACTCTTCAAGGCAAAGTCGAGTGCAAAGTCCGAGGCTTTTCCCTGAATGCCCGCGGTCAAGAGCAACTGAACTTTGACATTTTAAAACGCAATGTCATGGACGAACTTCAGCATCCTCAAGCCCAGGCTAGATCCATCCCGATCTTTAACCCCCATAAGATCGTGCGGGATGAAACACCCAAGCTACTCGAAACGAGGACCGAAATCAAGCGCTACCAGTTGGTGGCGAGCAAACGCGTGGTGGACCCGGACGACTTTCACACGTACCCCTATGGCTTCACCCCTGTTCCGCTGGAAGACGCGTGCAGTGATGACAATGACAGTGTATTTTCCCTTTAAATGAATGTTGACAAAACAAAAAACCCTTAAACAAAATTTAAAAAGCCAAAAACCCCAAAAAGCCCAGCGACAATGAGTGAAGGGAGTGGTGCCTTCATGACACCCCCGTCTGAGAACGGATAATACGCGGCGGGCCCAATAATTGGCCGCGGGGGACTGGGAACCCACATGTTGAATCTAGGAGACATTTCGTGACACTTCCATTTTTTTTATTGGGTACGTTGAGGACAATAATAATGACATGTATTTAGTCCATTCTTGTTCCGAAAGTAGGACCAAGCAACACAACTACCCATTGTACATGGTGTAAAAAGCAAATAAAGCATGACAAAAAACTGGAGTCTTTTTTCACACACAAAGAAGAAAACAACAACCAGATTACAATTATGAGTTTGCGTTTCGCTTGCATGATTTTTTTGACAAGGGCTTCGGTCCAAGTCTTTTTCCCTGGCAGGGCTTGAATGGCGCTAATCATCTTGTCATCGGCTTTCCACTTGTCCTGGAGATTGCGCGCACGAGAATAATCGATGTCATGTTGTTTAGCAATGCGATCCAACCGGCTGATGCCGGGATCCCCGCGCTTCAGGCGTTTCTCCAAATGGGTGCCTGGGCCCATGTATTGGTACCCCGGCCAATGAAATTCGATGCCTGTCTTGGTCAACCATTTTTGGACGTCTAAGCCTCGACCGACCATGCGACAGCGGCGAGGGTTGCCACGGCGCGACCCGCGCCGGTGGTGTCTAGTAGTCCTTGCCATCCAGTTTACGCTGGACTTTCTCTCCCCACTCGCTCCACCCGGGTTGACGTTTTAACTTGAGCACCTCCTTGGCCAGTTGTTTTCCCTCTTTGACGGCCTTGGGGAGGTGATAACTGAAGCGGGTTTTTTTCTTGGCACGTGCAGGGGAAGAAGACGGTCCTGCCAGGGGAGACTTGCCTTTGCTCAACGTCGGAGTCGTCTTGCTCTTGTAGGTGCTGGGGATGGGTACCGCCAATTCTTATTCCCAATCGTCGGCCGGTAACGGGACCGAGAAGGCCGGCTTGGGTGGGAGTTTCGGCTTGCGTTTGGGTGTGGCCTTGGGTTGCGGGGTACTGCTTTAAATAAGCGTTTTCAAGAAGGTCTCCATGGGTCCTTGGGCAAACTCGTCTTCGTCGTCGGCCCCCGCCGCTCCTCCAGCTGCCGGGAGGTTCATGGTCCTCACGCGTTTAGTGGCCCGCCGTACCTCAGGTCCCAGGGCCTTGACGCGGATCTTTTTGGTGGCCGGCGGAATCTCGGGGGAAGCCAGCAAGACGTGTTGTTTGGCTACCAACCGCGCGGAGTGCGTTAACCGCGAATTCTCCATCAACGTACCTTTGTATTGTTCTACCAACTGCTCCATGTCCGCTGGGGACACTAGGTACTTTTTCTGGTACGGTCCGTGACTCATGTTGTCAGGCAATGACGACATACGCGATCCAAGGCGTGCCACACTCCCGCCCCAGTTTTAGCCATCATAACGTGCCGTCGCCGTTTTATGGAATGTTTGCGACGCGCCATCTCGCGCAAGGCGCGCTTGTGCGGACGCAGTTGATCCAATAGTCGAGGCGGGACGGCCACATTGCCTTTCAATGTGTTCATCACCAACTCACTGATGGCATTGACTTGATCGGCATTGGCGTGCTGCAACCGTTCCCGTCTCACGTTCTGGTCGGCTTCTCGCAACACGCTCCGCAAAAAGGGCAGTTGTCGTTGTAAGCGTCGCACCATGCTGTCCTCCTGCCTCCCCAACGTGCCAGGGGGTCTTTATAGGGTTACGAGGTCGCTTTGGCCACTCGGTGCCATCGACGCCGCGTGTTGGCCAGCACGCGCTGGTTGGCCCACCATTGCGCCCAAGAGATTTTACCCACGCGTTTCTTGCGCGTAGCGGCATCCAAGCCTTTCTTGACCCCGTACCCCGCGGCACCACTCACCGCCCCGGCCGCAATGGCCTTGCCGGCGGCGAGGGCAAGAGGCACGAGAAAGGGTAAAATTCCCCCTCGTTGTCGTCGTCGTCTCCGACCGCGTCGGACCATGATGCCAACGGAACGGGATCGGGAACGGACTCTGTTTTTATAGGCTCTCTCATCGTCTTCCTCTATGATCGAGGGCTTTCTTTACACCATACCCTACGCCGCCACTAATGGCACCCGCCGCCGCGGCCTTGGCGGCTAAGAGGCCTAGAGGAATGAGAAAGGGTAAAATTCCCCCTCGTTGGTAGTGGCGTCGGCGGCGGCGTCGATAGCTGGCTCGTCGTCGGCGCCGAACCATGATGCCAATGGGATAGGGTCACTATTCTCCCCTGGTCTTTTTATAGGCTCACATGATCGGGCAATTGAACGATTCGCCCGCGTACTTTTTACGCTTGCCACTCGCCACCTCGGCTCTTCTTTTTCGGCTAATCTCTTGGGCTTTTTTCTCTTGACGTTCCCCAAGGGCTTTGGTGGTCGCATGCGCCGTCTTGAAGATGCCCGTGATAAGGCCCGGTGAGACGCCGCCTCGTTGCGATCGTCGCCGACGGCGGCGAGGTGGGGTCTGGCGTGTTTTCCTAGCACGGCGAGGCATCCTAAACTCTACGCAATGCCAGAGGGGATGTTCGGATTTTATAGGTATCTTTTTGGGTTGCACTCATCCCACACGTTCGTAGAGCTCCGTTAGGCCTTCTTCCGGTAACACGTTGGTGAAGAGACGGTACCGATCGTCGGACGCGGGATGCAAGTCGAGCATCAAATAACCAAAAGGGCGTTGCGTGCATTCACTAAAGTTGTAGAGAATGTGCGACCATTCGGTCGGAAAGGCCTGCAGCGCCAAGGTGCGCATGCCCACCTGATCTCGTGGGTTTTTGAAGGCCACCATGTAATGCGCATTGCGCGAGATCGTCTTGGCAAATTTTCCGGGTGGGAACAAATCTTGACACAGGAAGATCACGCTAATATTGCGGTGGTGCGAGTGCTTGGAAAAGAGATGCAACACGCGTTTGTCGTTGGCGCCTTCCTCCATGAGATCGTCTACCACCAACAACCCTCCTTGTCGCGGTCCAAACCATTGATCTAACTCTTCTGGGGTGGGAAGCCCTTCGTGAAATTGAACGGCCATCTCCTTCTTCATGTCGTCAAAAGCAGGTTGCCACGCCCCATAACAGTAATGCTTCACCCGAGGAGGGGGGTGCATCAACGTCTCGGCGTGGCGCAAAAACCCACGCGTCCAGGTGGATTTCCCGCACCCCGAGGGGCCGCCCACAATCGTGTTGCTGGGATGTCGAATCATCCTCGTTCTGTCTCCACGATGGCGTAAAATCGAGGGGAGGCGTCTTTTATCAGGGTCAACATCGTGTCCACCACGGCCGTTTCTGGGCATTCTTTTAAAGTGCGGGCCAATCCCTCCCAGTCCCCTTCCCGCGCCAAACGACGAAAAGTGGTGTAGTGTCGATAATCCCACGTCTCATGCAGAACGTCGACGGGATTAAGAAGAATTTCCATCAACACGCGTTCGTCCAGGGCTTCGAGGACGCGTCGCACTTCTTGTCGCGTAATCATTTTTTCTGAAAAAGAACGTCGCCGCGAGCGCACCGGTTTTATGGAGCGCCCGCGACGACGTTGCGTGGAACCTATCGGACTCGAACCGATCACCCACGGCGTGCAAAGCCGCTGCTCTACCTACTGAGCTAAGGTCCCTTTTTTGAGCACTAGACGTACCCACCACCGGCAGGGAGAGAGAAATCTTGGTGTCGCACCGACTGCTCGCGCGAAGGCCCCCTGCACCCCCGTCTGCCCTCTTGTTCCCTTTATATATCCGTCCCTTCTCGTCATCTCACCCTTGTGGGACACAGACAAAACGACACACGTTTTCTAAAGCTTTAAGACTCGTTTAATGAAGGAAATAAACAACGTTGAGACACGCAGCGTTGCGCGTCCGGTCCATCGAGTTCGTCCAGGGCGGCTTCGTCTAGTTTCATCTGTATCCAGTCGCGGATGCGTTCTCCTACGCGATGGTCGTTCCACACGTAATCGCCGTCTCGAAAGCTTTCCACAAACTCCAGCAGAGTTCGTCGACGCACGCGCTCTTGCAGGTACACAAAGGCATAGTGGCCACAGGCCCAACTGTCGTAGGCCTGCAGAGTCTTCTCGCTGCGCACCACGTACTTCCAATGCCGCGTGATCCACTCGTGAAATCCTGGAGCCTCGTAGACGGTCAACGGCAACCCGTAACTGTCCATCACTTCGCACACTCCCTCTTCCGTCCACACACCTAACCAATGCTGGCCGGGTTCACCGGCCGGGTCCGTGTTGATGATTTAGGCGCCTCGGGTGGTCTTGGGAGGGTGCTCGGGCAATTGATCGGAGGGATAGACGCCTTGGAACACGCGCTTCAACTCGGGGTCCGAAAGAGCCAAGGCTCTCAATTGGCGATCGCTCAACGCGACCAACTCCATCGTCCAACTAAAGGTTCGATCTCTTTACACGGTGGTATCATACTGCACGGCTCCCAGGTGATCGATGTAGATAATACTTTCAAATTCCCCCCACACCAAGATGGTGACGTTGGCGCCGATGGCAGCTCTGAACTTGATCTCCAGGCGCACGTTGCCGGTCTGCTTGGGATTGAGTTTGGGTCCATCCGTGTCCCCGCTGGGCACGTTGTTCCACATGAACAGGGTGCAATTCTTGTTGTGACCCCAATCACCCGGTTTGACCATGAACTCGCGATGCTTGCCCACGGCCCCAGCGGCGTCCAAGAAGCGGCGATAGCCTTGCAAATCTTTTAGGGTATTATTGCCGGCGAATTCCAGAGTGACGTACGGGTACTCTTCTCCCTCGATAAACTGTCGCACGGACGTCACCCCTTTGCTCTGGAAAGAAAACGGGTACTTCTCCTTGGTACCATTGAAGGCCGTGCTGTCCAAGATGCCCACGATCATGCGTTGAGGCACCCTGCCCAGGAATAAGTTATCTTCCATCCACGTGGTGGTGGCCCCGTTGAAGGTGAAAGTGCGAATCTGATCCCTCACCACCGGGTACTTGGCCACCTCTTCTTTGAGCTTGCGCTCACCTTCCAGGGACGCATAGACATCCGGGTTGAGATTCAGTCGACACAGGTGAAAAGTGATGTCCACATCTTGTTCTCGCAACCGAACGTACTGCTTCGTGCCATCGTTGATGGTCGCCCAGGTGTAGAAATCGGGACTGTTAAAGTGCAACTCAAAATTCATTTCCACCCCGGGCACCATGATCTTGCCCGTGTGGAACACGGGCAGGTAAGGCCGCATGATCAAGCGGACCACGTTGTTGCCCCGGAAAGGGGTGGTCAGGGTCTTGAGCAGGTTATCATTATTGTGTAGGTACCCCGCCAGCGTGCTAATGTCGTCTCCCCCGCCACTGGTCAACGTGGGTGCCACGTTCAAGAAATTGACCCAGCCCTGAGGGGCCAGCAAACTCTCTCCATCGTCCTGGCTGTAATTGAGCAGGGTCTGCAGATAGGCCGAGTAGGCGTAGGTGTCGGTCTGTTCGGTCATCAGGGTACCATTGAAACGCACGTTGATCTGCTTGAAGATAGTGTGGGCCAGGTTGTTGACGGCGTACGTAAACTTGGTGTTGTTGGCATCTGACGCCGAATTGGCATCGGCCACGATGCCATTGGCGCCCGCCGTGGACAACCGCAGGTCGATGACGAAAAAACTGCGATTCAAATCCGTGTAATCCTCCAATTGTTGCACCGAGAACTTCATGGGCGTGATGCTGCTGCTCAATTTGTGGTAGGGCACCATGCGATAGCCCAGCAGATTGTAGTCGGTCGAAGGGACCGTGAAAATGTCCAAAATGCTCATGATGACGGTGAAGAATGCGTCTCATCGTCGGCGGCGTCGTCGTCGTTTTATATACTGTGTCAGGTCGTACCCTGGCGGCTTGGGCACGCTGCTACTGATCCATCCTCCGCGCTAGGCGCGGTCTTGGAGCCGCCGGGCCTGCAGCCAACGAGTGAAGTCGTACCCTGGCGGCTTGCGTACGTGAGGACTGATCCATCCCCCTCGTTGCGATCGAAAAGGCGAGGGAATACTCCGTTGACGTCGAGGCCAGGATTGCACCACCAACCTTTGTGTACGTGGCATCACACTCCCAGTACGTCGCGTATGCGTCCCACCGTGTTCCGATTACCCTTTCTTGCCTACCGATTTCGCCGACCTCTTGGCCATCGTCCCGGCAATGGGAAGGGCCTTGCGTTTTACGCCTCTTTTTATCTCTTCACCCACGGCCCGCGCCACCCTGCGCCACGACTGCCCTTGGGCTCCCGCCCGCGCGCCAACTTGCACGGCGCTGGCCAGAATGGGGCCTCCCAAACGATACAGATCCTCTCGAAGTCCTCGACCATCCTGCGGCGGCAGGGGTGGAGGACGGTACCGCGTCAGACTGCCTCCCCACATGATGTGACACGTTTCGCCGAGGCACGCGCCTTTTTTGTACGTCTCGTTTGAACACGAAGGTGATCAGGGTGCGCCCCGCGCCGAACTTGACGAGGCCTTCGTGACTCTCGGCCACTTCCACCTCCACGACGTCCATGTACTCGCGCCGACACGGTAACCATTGGATGTGCAAGGGTTCATAGTACGCCACGCCCTTGCCTTGGCGACGGTACTCCACTTCGCGCACCATGGCATGCTGTTGGCCTCCGACGATATTGCTGTCCACCAGGTCCGAGTAGACCAAAAAGGTGCGCGAGGGTTCCCCCACCACCTCTCGGAAGGCCACGTTCAAGTTGACGAAGCGCCAATTGATCACCTGACTCAACTGTAAGTGGTCGCTTTCTATTTTCCAAAGCTCGTGGTTGTCCAGTTCCGTGTTCTTGACGTCTTTGTAATAATTTCCCGCCTGCTGCGTCTTGTAATTGAGTTCGTAACGGAGATTGGGTCCCAAGGCGTACTTGTCCTTCCCCGTCTCCACCAGCCACCCCATCAGTTTAGCCATGCTCACGTGCACATGCCATTGCACGAACGACATGCCGGTCGTCAAGGCGATGTCGTCCAACTCCTTGGCCAGCATGCGCAGGTCCTCGCCGTCCCATTCGTACGTCACCCGAAACTTGTCGTAGAGCCGTTTACTCTTCGCTTGAGCTTCTTTCATCTCGTAAAACTGCGATTTGCCTATGAGGGCTTTCATCAGACTCACCCCATCCACCACGCTGGGATCGTTGGTCAGATCTTTGATTTGGACGACGGTCTGATGGTGGTACGGGATGTCGTCGGGCCTCAAATTGTTCACCATCTTGACACCCACCATGACCACGCGAGGGTTGACGGCATTCGTGAGTCTCGCCAAGTCCAAGGCGGCGTCGGGGGTGGAGATGGCCGCCAGCCCCACCTTCCATCCTTCCCCCTTCAATTCCAAGGGCACGGGCAAGCGCACTTTGAAGGAACTCGTGGTGTTGTTGGGAAACTCTTCCGTCGGATCGCTGACCAACACGACACGATTCATGCCTGGAAATGCAACGTCACTTGCGTCTCTCCCGACGGGTTCAAGGTCATCAAGTGGCCGTTCGTCTCGGCCACTTCCACTTCGAGAATCTCCACCGTGTCTCCACGCAACCGGTGATACTGCACGTGTTCCGGTTCCCACCGGATGGGCACGTCTTTATAGGGCAGGTCACGCAAGAAATTGGTGATCTGCGTGCCCACGATGCTGCTCTCCCCCACGTTGCAGTACAGATGCACCGGACGCGTGGCCTGCTCCCCGTGCGTCGCGGGCGTCACCGTGGTCTTCTTCTGTTTGTCTTCACTCCCCTTATGCGTGGGCTTGGTGGTCGTTTCGGTGCTACTGCTGGTCGACGTGGTGGTGGTGCTTCGTCGAATGACCGGATGATCGTCGTACACGTCGTCCACTTGATCCATGCGAGGCCACGGCGGCCCGATGGCGTACCCGTAGACCACCACGTAACATTGATCCGTCAACGTGGCCGGATACGAGGTGGGCACGCCGTCGATGGTCACCGTCGCGTGCAGCCGCGACGCACTGTCCGACAACGACGTCAGCCGGAAATCTTGCACGAGGCGATGGTAATACACCAAGTGCGTTCCCAGGTATTCATGCACGTGCGTCGTCACCGCCGAATCGATCATTCGCACGTAGAAACTCGTGTAGGCACTCACGCGCGTCTTGTCAAACAAGACCTTGTCGGTCGTGTAGACCTCGACCACTAGTCTATACGTGGTCCCCACGCTCAGCTTGGTGGTGCCTATGACCCAACGAAACTTGGGTTCGTACTTGTTGCCGCTTTTCGTCAACGTCATGCCCATGGTCTTCTTCTTCCAATAATGCGGGGACCCTTCCAGATTGACAAACCCCAAGGAGCTAATCCCCGCCTCTTTCGTCCACACGCTCTCGTCGTCCATGATCCATCGGAACGTATTGTTCAGGACCTTGGGAGGGACGAACACGTGCGTGGTGGCCCGAGCATAGGCTTCGTCCAAATTCACAAACTGCCAATCCACCACCATGGACAAATACACCAAGCCTCGGTGCACCTGCACGTAATCCGTAAACGCCAGCAATTGATTCTTATCCGCGGACGAAGCGACCTTCGGATTCTTGGGCTGATTCAACAGGGGGTGCATCAACAAATTGGGTCCCAGACCATACGTCCCGTCCTCTTTTTTCACCACCCATCCCATCGTTTGGGCCAACACCAGATTGAACCCAAGGTAAGGGCGCGGTTTATTGAACGACACATTGGTTTTGATATTCAGGATCCACAACGTCGGCACCCCCCGCCTCGTCCTTCCATTCGTACCGAGGCGTATAATCCACCGAGGCGGTACTCAAGTTATACCCGGTATAGAGTTTCTTCATTACATCTTGTCGCAACCAACGAAACACTTTTTTCATAAACACTACCCCCGTGGCGGCTTCAGGCATGTCGGCGTCCTCCATTGTACTGGTGATATCTTGCGTCTTGGTCCCATCGGTCCTCTCGAGGGATCGGGAATATATGCGCACCAATCGCTGGTTGGTCGATCCCTTGAACAAATTGGACTGCCGATGTTCCGTGAGAGGGGCCACAGGAGTGGTCGTCACGGGATGCGACGTCACTGCATGCGAGACCGTGTTGGGGGGTCCGGGTAAGTAGACTCCGGCCACGCCCACCTGCCAGTTCTTGACGCGCAGGGGATACGGCAATCGCACCTTAAACGAGGCCGGGGTATTGTGGGGAAACTCGGGCTTGCTGGTGTTACTCAGCAGCGTGACGTACAGCGACCGACTCGCCGGTTCCATGCTGATCACAATTGGGTCAGACTACTCTTGGGAATCCAACTGTCGTACTTTGGAGGCCACCCTTTCCAACGCACCTTGACCCCTTGGCGGCGCCGTTGCAACACCTTCTCCACGCGAAACAAAGCGTCGTCCGGCACGTCGACTTTCTGTACGTCCTGCTCGTAGAAGGTGCCTTCAATGGGCTCTCCGTCCCACTCCTTGATTTTATAGGTGGCCACGGGCCCCGGCACGGCTCGGTCGATGATGAACACCTCTTCGGTCCAGCCGGGCAGATACCCTTTCTCGAACGGCCGGTGCTGTTTCTGTAATCGGACGCGATCACCCGGTTTCCATTGCGGACGCACGCGACGGGCCAAGCGTCTGCCGTACAGGCGTTGCCACACCTGGCGCTCCTCGGCCCGCGTCACGTCGCGAGGGGCCATGCCAATGCTTCGATGTTTGGTGGCGTTGTACCCTTGCACCAAATAAGGTAAGGCCTCCACGTACCGGTAGGTGTTGCGGGCAGTAAAGTAACGGTACATACGTTCTTTCAAAGTACGATTGAATCGCTCTACCACCGACGCCTTGGTATCCCCGTGGGTCGAGAAATGATGAATGTTGTGCCGCGTCATCAAACTCTGAAACACGCGGTTGTAGAACTCTTTCCCGGCGTCCGTCTGCAATCGCAGAGGCTGTCGCCCCTTAGCCCGCTTCAGGATGCGCTCGAACGCCGCCGCCACTGCCTTGCCGGTCTTGTCCTTCAGAGGTTCCACCCAAGCGTATTTTGACAACACGTCCACCACCGTCAACAGGTACCGCACGCCGCGATTCCACTTTTTCAGGGCTTGCATTTCCACTAGGTCGGCCACCCATTGTTCGTCCATCCCAAGCACCACCACGGGGAGAGTGGGAAATCGGCGGCGTCGAGGTTTATGCAACGTGTAACTCAGCAAGGGTTGCAACGCTCGCCGGGCGCGCCCAATGGGCAGGCCCTGCGCTCGCGCAAAGCGCTCAATCCCCCAAACTCCCTTGGAGTGAGGGCGTTTGATAGGCCTCCGCCCAACTCACTCCGCGCTTCTTCTTACTCATGGCACCCGCGCTGCAAGAACAACAACACGACCCCCGTGTAAGTGCGTTTTTCTTTTATTGAGTTAAAATACCTCCGGGCTGCTCCTACTGGCGACTTGACTGTTGGCGGTACCTCTTGGTGCGCCGGGTCTCTCTCCTGGTCTGATAAAATCGGGGGCTGCTTGCTCTCACGTTTGTTGGTTCTCCTATTTAACTGCTTGCGTCCGTTTGGGATGCTCGGTCCATCGTTGCTTGTGCATGGCTTGCCGGGAAACCATCCATGACTCCTTCAAGGTAGTTGGGGTCTTGCTTTTCCAACAGTTCGCGTTCTTCGTGAAGCGGCTTCTGTCGCTCCTCTAGAAAACGGTGCTGATAGTGATGACGTTCTTGCTGATACTGATTGCGTTCTTGTTCCAACTCGATGACTTTTCGGGTCAAATGCACGATCTCTTGCACCAAGTTTCGGATAGTGTTCTCGGGATTACTCATGTTTTGTTGACCAGACAGTGGCACACTCGGTCCAATCCGCGCCAAAAGCCCGCACCCGTCTGATTCAGGCACAAAGTGCGTCGCCGTTTTATTGATTTTTTTTTAAAACCATCTCACTCCGGTTAAATTCTGGAAGGTGGGATCTATGCCCAGATGATCGGACGTCAACTTGGTGGGCCAGGCAACCAGGGTTTCCTCCTCGGGTTTATGCTTCCCAGGGATAATTCCTAGTAAATGGCTTGTGATCTTTAGGGATAAGGGTGCATTAATCCATTGGAAAAACTCACAGTCTTTCTTGCGGCAGCTTAAGAACAGGCGATGGGGATTCTTGGTGGTTTGACTCAATCGGAGTCGGACTCGCTTCTGGCAGAAACAGCGCATACTTTCCCAATAGGTTCGGACCTCACAGTGGACTTGTTCTAGGAACAATCGTTCGATGAGTTGAAACTTCTCGAGAGGACAGGAAAACGCACAACTTTCTTCGGGACAATACAGGTAAATCCACTCTCCGCTCGTTTGGCGCAACGTCAACAAAGGATGCACAGGACAACAAAAAGGCGGCACTTGTTCCACACACGAAGGGACCGCGGCTTCATCTTCTTTGACTTTTTTGCTGGGAGGGTCCGGGTTTTTTTTCCCGCCTTTCTTGCGTTTGTATTCATAGGGGTACAGAGGCATGTGCCCCTCTTTTTTAGCGCCCACTGGGTCGGCACCGTCTTCTCCCATGATCGCCTAATGAGTTCCGTTTGAAAAGCCTCTCTCTTCTTATAGAGCCCCCCGAGTGACGACACAGGTCACCTGACTTGCCCTATTGGGACCTCTCACCTTCTGATTGGGTCTTTCTTTTTTCTACGTAAGACCCCTTTCCCTTGCAATCAGCCTCAGTCACCTCACGGAATGGATCAAGACGAAGAGATGATGGACATTCCCCGCCTCAACGATTATCGGATTGTGACAGGAGGCAGCCAAGGCGCCGAGCAGGCCGCCGAAACGCTAGCCTTAGGGTATGGCATTCCTGTAACCATCAAGATTGGCCCGAATCACCCCCGAAGCACCCACATCACCCCCTTGACCCGAGAAGACTTGGAAAACGCGTGCGAACCGCTCGGCCACGCGGCTTATACGTTAGGTCGCCCCGTGCCTAAAAGTCCTATCGCCTGCGAACTTTTACTGCACTACTACTTTGTGGTGAACGATGCGGACTCGATCTGTGCGTTTGGGTATTTGAGTGCCAGTCAAAAACAAGTGCAAGGCGGGACAGGCTGGGCCGTTCAAATAGCCGTGGATTTACAAAAACATGTCTTTGTCTACGATGTGAATTTTCATCACTGGTACGAATGGAACCCTTCTTCGACAAGATTGACGCGCATGACGTCTCGATTTCCCATTCTCGCCCCCAGAAGCGCTATCATAGGATCCAAAGCCTTCCCCAGCCAAGCTCAGGACGCCATGAAGAATCTATTCGAGCGGACAAGTCAAACCTAAACGTCACGTAGGCAATAGTTATTCATCCTATTGCATAAAGACTCTTTTGTTTCTATACAACAATACTCTTGCATGCCACTACATTTTGGGAACAATACTCTTGGACAATACGTTATTAGAACACTCCTTTTTTTTTTTATAAGCCAATTAGAATATCTGTTTAGTCAAGTACTGTGAATAGCGTAAGCATTCTTTGCTAGCCATTCCAGAATGTGCCCCACGGGACGAAGATGAAACCCGTCGATGAGCGCAACTCACGCTCCGTTTGGTCAAGAACCTCTTGATGTGTGACGTCACCCCTAGGCAAAAGTATAAAGGCTCTGCCCCCGACGAACCCCTCAGTGTCTGACAAACGCCTCCCATTTCAGTGCTTCATCCGTGCCGTGTTAGGAATCTCTGAGCTATCCGCCTTGCTACACCCTCGAAGCAAGTCACCGCTCAACTCGCTCTTTGAAACGATGCATGCCGCCTACTCTACGACCCTCGTTATACCCCTTGCGGAGAACGTCCCCTACGAATCGACTCTCTTCCCCATCGGCGATATCTAAGGAAGAAAAAAGATGGAGCAAGGACCTCTGAATAACGGGCAGTTGGACTATTTGGCGCGACACCATCCCCCGTTAGGGTCTGGTTTTCAAGGCGTGTTTGCCAGGAATCCCTTACCCAACAAGCTCATCACCGCGTACCTTGTCAACTAAGATCCCACCGGTCCCCAGGACCCCCTTGGCTCGCCCTCTGGACGCACGGCCAACATTGCGAACTCTTGAACAGTGACGACCCTCCCCTTGAAGACCTATGCAGACCCTCTTCTCGAGCAATAGGTGCAGGAGCATTGGAAACATCTGCTCACCAACGGAAAAGCGTTGCAAGCGTACCCTAGTCAAACCTGTGGTCATAAGGTCAACGATCGTTTCATAGGGCAAGCCCTCCAACGCGTGAGTATTCGAAACCCGGAGAGATGGGAACATGCAGGTCCATTACCTTTTGAGCCATCTTGTACTCCTAGACTTGAGATGTAAACTGTACACTGATTTAAAAAAAAAAAAGGAATAAAAAGGTTGTTGTTTGGTGCTAACTTGGCGAGTGCTTGCATGTCCCAAGCCCGGTGGCGCAAGGGGTAGCGCGTTCGATTCCAAATCGAAAGGTTGGTGGTTCGACTCCACCCCGGGCTTCCAGAGTGGATCCTCGGTGGGAACTATTCCTTCTTCTTCTTCTTCTTTTGCTGCCTGATCTTTCTTTTTCGTCTTCGTGCACATGTCTTCCCAGAGAGTATTTGTCTAGGCGCGGCGAACTATCGAGGCTCCTTTTTTTTCAAAAGGCCCCAGGGAAGCCTAGTCTCCACCAAAAAATAAAAGCCCCAGCGACAAGCAGTGAAAGGGGTGGCGTCCTTAGAACGGATAATACGCAGCCTCCTCCTCCAAGCTGCGGGGGGCTGGGAATCCACCATTTTTCTTCTTCTTCCACAAAGCGCATACGCCCTCGCGAATTTTTTTCCGTACCACAAGGCTAACCCTAATCCTAACCCTTCACCCTTAACCCTAACAGTAACCCTAACCCTAAACCTTCCACAACGCGCATACGCCCTCAGGAATTTCCCGTACCACAAGGCTAAGCTCGAACCCTCCTCCTCCTATATAACCCTAACCCTAACCTAATCAAGTAAGGTACCCTAACGGGCATGCGCCCTCGTGAATTGGCCTTACCACAAGGCTAAACATCCCCTCTTGGTCTCATATATAAGATCAACCCCCCCTTTTCTCTAATCAGGTAAGTACCTCCAACGCGCATGCGCTCTCGTGAATTGGCCTTACCACAAGGCTAAACAAACCCTTACCCTAACCCTAACCCTAACCCTAACCCTAACCCATGACACCCCCGCCGTCGAGCGGATAATACGCAGCGGGCCCAATAACCCGCTGCGGGGGACCTGGGAATCCACGCGCATGCGCCCTCGTGAATGGCCCTTACCACAAGGCCGAGGCGCAACCCTCCTCCACCAATATAACCCTAACCCTAACCTTCCACCACGCGCATGCGCCCTCGTCAATGGACCTTACCACATGGCCGAGGCGCAACCCTCCTCCACCAATATAAACCCCACCCTAACCCTAACCTACTCGGGTTACAAGAGGCCCTAGACCTAACCCTAACCCTAACCTCTCCCTCTTCAGGTAAGTATACCCCCCTTTCAACCCACCCCTCCCCTCACTTTTTTCTTAGAGGACATTTCGTGACACTTACATGAAGGAGTACCTGCCCCAAACCACCCCCTAATACTACTACCTTTGTTTGCCGATATACTATCGATAAAATCACCAAAGCTTTTATTGTAAATGGGAACTTGGTTTCCCTTTTGATTACAGAGCACAATAAAAAGTAACCAAGAGAGGTTAACTGGACAGAGGAAAACGCCCACTCAAGCCTTTTGGACACGTGAATTATTTTTAGTGAAAAACTTCAAGGGGTGACATGCTATACATCTATACCGACGTGAAACCTTGTGTCGTAGGAAATAATAGGTCGTTCTTTAAACATTTGGCAAAGTAGTGATTGGTTTTGTATGAGATTCCACTTTTTAACTCATGGGTACGCGCGAGCGTAGACATGAGTTATTTGCAGGGACAGGGATATGCAAATGAGTCACTCGCTCACTCTTAGCAGACGGACTTCGTAATTAATCAGGTTTGAACTCGAGAGTGCGAAGATATATCGTTTCCGAAGAAGTACGCGCTCGCCGAAGTTTGGTAGGATCAAATTCCTCGCGTGCATCGTGCGCGACTCAGAGTTTTCTCTGTGGCAAATTTTCTACAGCACGGTTAGAGGTCTCGCCAAATTTTAAGACACGCAGAAGTCTTTCAGACTAGTAAGATGGTTAACTTGAGGATTATATTTCAAGCGCCTTTCACTCGTCCAGGCATTAAACTTGACGAGAAGATGAGTTTTTGCTCTTCGACTCCCCAAGATCACAGGTCATATACAAATTCCAATCAAAGTTCGATGGGGTTCGATTACTTCTTTGTTTTTTTTTGTGGGGAGAGTTCGATTGTGGTCGATTACCGAACTTAATCGAACCGTATCGTTCTATTCAGTTTGATTTGATTTAGTTCCATTAATAAAACGCTCGATTTAGTTCGAGTAGCTACGTCGGGAGTAATTATCAACAGGTGTGAAGCCTTTTCCCGTAATGATGGCTCGAGATCTTGAGCAATTAAGTTTTCCTTTTTTCCTCATTTCATTCCCAGAAGTTTCTTCACGTCACATAGTTACGATGCCCGCCACCAAGTTGACGAGTTTTCTGTTTAATATTTCTCCGGTCATTGTTGTCAAAAAAGACCTTGTACAGAATTTTTTTAGCTAATATGAAGTTCCAACGAGCGAATTCTGGCCTATAAATACCTAACATAATAACTGACTAACATAACTTATACTGTTCACGACACGAGAAAGGATACTCAATTGGTCAAAAATAGTAATTAAAAGAGCAAGCACGCAGCGGACGATGGGAGAAGGGACTGCGTTCCCCCCTCCCCCCCTTGCACTTTCATTTTCCCTTCTCCCCAGCCTCAGCCTAGCACACAAAGAGGCCTCTGCGGAAAGGGAGAGAGTATTCCGTACAACGCGTATAGTCATCGCATCTACTCGTTCAATTATTTTCTTTTAATTGGTTTTGAGCTTAAACTCAACGAAAAATTGCAACGGGAGAATGCTACTGCTATAAGCGCATATTACAAATAAATCCACCCTTTAAGTGTCATCCGACGATATACTTCTGCCACTTCTTTTAAAGACAACCGTAAATAGTTTCAATGCAGGTATAAAATACTTCGTAACAAATACATATTTCTTATCCATTGTTGTGAAGAAATGTTTTTTCCTTCTCAAAATACGGGAAAGTACACCCTTTGATCGAAGTACTTACCATAAGGACAAGACCCCCCCGCAAAGAAGAAGTCATCAATTGCTATGTCACCAGTGATACTGCTTCCTACTACGCCTTCAAATGTTACCTGTCAGAAACATGGTATTACAGTGTAATCAGTCTGGAAGGTTCGCTTTAATGATGGACTTTAAAGGCAAATTAATATTGCAGAAATGAAGAATTAACTGGAAAGTTTAAAGAATTAGATAATTGAGACAAACAGCAGGCACATCCGCTTTGAAACGCTAAGTGATATTTTTCTTTGCATTTACGAATTTTAGAGAGATATATAACTTACATTTTGTATCTGTTTAATTTATAGTTAATAATAAGATGAAGTATTATAGTTTTACTTGTTTTGCTGATAAATACAGAAAGTCCGTCTAAAGTAGGATTTGTGGAATTTAAACTCTCGCAAATTCTCAAAAGGTTTTCAAAGATTTCTACCTTATGCCTCTTAAAATCATTGGCTTCCTACTGCGTTTAGAGAAAACTGTTTTCAGACGGTTTTGATACCGATCGATGTGGTCTCATTAATGCTTACCCAATGCAATCCCACAATAGATGATATATTTATACTAGCTTTATTCCATATGCCTCCTTTATCACCACTCGCAGAGAAAACCACTGTTTCATTTATGGTGACGTTCAGGCTTCCATTAACTGCACCAGACATATAGTAATAGAATTCAAGGCACATAATCCCAAAGAACTTAAGTGGAGGACTGTGCAATTTTGCATCATCACCTGGTTGATGTGGACTGGATGCTTCTATGTACATGTAATAACCTTTAAAGAGATAAAGATGGATAGAGGGTAGCAACTTATAACTAACAAGTAGTTTTAAGTTGAGGACCGACTGTCCAATTTTGTAAGTTCTTGTTGACTAGATAACTGTAAAAAATGAATGTGTAACAACTTACAAAGAGATACGGATACAGGAAAGAAAAATAACCAGTGCTTACTAAAAAACGTTTTTCAGTAGACCTAGAATAAGATTTTTCATAGTCTGCGCGCAAATGCTAAAATAGTTCTCTGACCTCGTAAGTGCAACGTAAAAGAGGTAGAATGAAGAAAAACTTAAGTGTTCAGGCTCCTTTCTGGATTGAGAGCCACGGGAAGTGCTACATGCAACTGGATATTGTAGAGCAAGAGCAAATAGGGTTACTATATATTAGCGGATTCAGATCATCAAGTAAGTAGGGGGGTGGGGGGGGGGTCTCTTTGGCTCAACCGGACCCTAAGAATAAGGGTAGTCTCGAGGATAATTTTTCTAGGCCCAACGGGCCAAAGGCTGGGTGAAGATAACCCAGGATAGTGCAAAAACTCGGATTTAGATATGAAACCTAAAAAAAAAAACAATTTTGGTTTAATTCTTTTTGTCTACAATTTGATGACTGGATGCTCTAACTAACCGTAACTGTCTCTGCTAATAGTAAGTCTGGCTAGTTGTAATGTAATTAGTTTAGAGTTCACCTGTCATGTTTCTAGTGGTGTGATCATAGAAAGGTCCTTTACTGGAAGATGGGCTTCCCCTGTGTCGAGTCCACCTAAGCTTGTCATCTTTGCCTAGCTCGAAACTGCACATTGATACATCAAAGTTGCATGTTATTTCTAAGTTGAGAAGAAGAAATGAATCTTAACCCTCGGACGAACAAGCAAATTCATACCCCCACCGTGGTACAAGAGGTGGGGGTTGATGGAACCCCTCCCCGGAGTTTTTAATATGTTGCAGCATATTGAAACGATTTTACTTTTAGTGGAAAGTCTTTGTCGTGATCTTCTTAACAAGATGAAGTATATTTTATGGGTGGTGGCGCTGCTGGAGGCCTGTGACGTCACCAGCAATGGTCGCCATCTTGGATTTTACCAAGAATTGGAAATCAGGTGAAAACCGCGAGAAATGGTAATTTTTTGTGCTTTACATGAAAAATAACACATAAATAAACATTTTGCATGATTTTAGCCACAATATTGTATTGTATATTGTTGAAAGAAGTTGAAAAAACATGTATTTTCACCCCAAATTGGCTTGACCACCTGCTACTTATGACGTCATATCTCGTAATCATAGCAACTGACCATCACTAAACTTGCCTCAAAATCTGCGCGAGGAATGAACGAACAGCTACTGAAAACGTCAAGTGCTGATGTTTTATCCTCTAGGAAAAAACTGAGAAAAACCTTATGGGGCGGTGGCATTCACCCCCCGCCCCCTTGTACGTCCGAGGATTAATGTTATAAATTGGCCGTTTTATGCTTAATCCATTCAAAGTACTCCTTACGACCCTAAGGCCCTGCTTATTCCGAAAAATCCTTGTCCTGGGTAGAAGGGCCGCTTGTCTACCCGAGCTAACAACTTTTCCTACATCTCCTCATAAATCTTGGTAAACCGTACCATGGCAAACAAAAGTTGGCTCGGCTAGAAGGGTCTAGTCTCGCCGCACTAGTTGGGTCACCTTTTTTCGATGATGGGGTCATCCTCCTAGCCGGGCCAACTTTTCTTCATAAAAACACTGTCTCACCCAGCCGGGTTAACTTGGTCAAGGCGAGACAATCGCAGCATGCGCTAACGCCGTTTTGGACAATAAGAGCATGCGCGCGAGCATTGTTGGCTCGTAAAAAGGGGTCACCTTTTTTCCTCATGTAGGGGTTCGCTAAAGTTGACTCGGTTGGGAGGGTGAACCACTTCTCCGGGACAACTTTTTTCCTTAAAACGGGCCCTAACATCAAAGTACAATTTTTAACACCAGGAACAGCGGAGCAGGGTTTAGACAGGGGATGCATGAGTCGAGGCTTAAAACGGAATTTAGTTTTTCCAAACTGGCTAGAAATGGGCTCATTCTCGTTGTGAGAACTTGTAATACTCACGAGCGATGTAAAACGAAGAAAGCATCGGATTCAACACTTAAAGAGTTAAAAAGGTAAGTAATGATAACTCTGAAGCAAAGAAAAACTTTGAGTTCTTACATCGATATGAAAAGTTAAGACTATTATCTTCTTACTATAAAAGTTTCAATCATAATTTCAACAATTAAGGGATTGTGAAAATTAAATCATAAATTAATTTTGATCTTCCTTGATTGAATCGTAGTAAACCTTTTTCCACTTCGAAAATCCTTAATGCAGTGCGGAAATTCGCCTCAATATGTATTGTGAATCAACCTTTTGAAACATTTACGACTCAGATGATGATTGCGTCTTTTGCCTTCTACACCGAGGCATATGCGATTGGCCCCTAATTTCATTGCATTGTTTGAGAAGGAACCTATGCCTCTTGCTCCTTCGTAAGATAAACATCTGCATGTACTAAGATATAATTTCATCTTCTCAATTTAGCATTTTTGTATGGCTCGTAAGTCGATAAGATAAGCAAAAATATTAAAGATGCCCAAATGTTAAAAATGCGCTCTTTCAAAGTGGCAATTTACTAAGGCAGTTCCCCTCGAATGGTAGTTATGATTAAATTAACTAGAAATAAAATACGTGTCTTGCAAACCCTCCTCTTGACTTATTTGAGTCCTCTCATTTACGAAGACCGAACAGTAGCTAATGTTCCCAACAAGTGAGTAGCTGTCCTTGTTCTCCGAGGATGTTCCTCTCCCTACCTTGTTGACAACTGACGTCAATCCCCCTGACAAATTCATCAACTAATTTCCTGGCTCTTTGCTGCTTCTTATTTATCTCGTTCTTTTTTTGGATTATGTCATTGGAGTACTCTGCAAAATGAAGTAAAAAAGTAGAACAGGAAATAATACTCTCCCCATTTTAATGATAATGAGCAACGGAATTCTATTCGAGACAAAATCTCTTGACAACTGGCTAATACTTCGACACAACAACTACCGAAGAAGTCAAATTATCATTCCTTAAAAGGCAAGCTTGCGCTTTACAGTTAAAGTTTTTTTGAGGAATTAACAATAATATGTAGAGTGATTCCGTCGTTGAACCACTTTTCTGTTTATCAGTGTTTTGCAAGACCAATATAATCTTAACAGACACGAACAGTAAACGCAACTCAACGCCATTACGAAAGGTTCATCTCCACGGACATCCCATGATGCATCGCAATTATGGTGCACCTTCTAACACCGTTCTCCAGCAAATTTGCAATTTTACGTTCTGCTAGAGTATCTTTGCGGTATTTTCGCTAAGCTCACCGAACGCGTTCGTTTAACAGTATTTTGTTCCATCTTAGCACATTTAACAGGTTCTGTATATAGCCTTTGTGGTCTCTACACGGTTTCTTATAAGTAGTTTACCATTCACGTTAACATCGTATGAACGGTATCCGCAATTCTGTAAGACAGTTTCTTTCTTCCACCCTTGTGCTTTCAGTAGACCCTTAGGCTTGACTACAACGGTATTTCCAGGCATTACCTCATTTAAATCTTTGGCAGTCTGGTCATAATAACCTTGAGGCTTCTAGTTTCTTTTAGTTTTCTCTGCTAGCACTTTTTCCGCAATCTCCCCTGTCAGCAGCGTTGCTTTCATAGGTTTTTCAATTCTTGTTCGACCGTTTAACAATGTATGTGCGGTAGATGTTGTCATGCCAGACGTAGGTGTGATGTGCTGGTCAAGTTATGCTTCATACGGACTCAGTGTTTCTTTCTCAGATTTTCCTCAGCAGTCTAAACAATCTTCACAGCGGATTCAGCTTTTCCATTACTTTCGTTTGGTGGTAATCACTGAAGGTGATGATTTTGAATGTTTAACCTTCTTTCGTTGGCGCGCAAAATTGTGGGAATTCAACTAAGTCGGAAATTACGTAGACTGCATGTGACGACAGATCAGGAATTCCAAGAAAGGATAAAGCTCAGAGAACGAATCCCCCATATAGGTCCTATACCCATCGTAATCCATCTAAAGATATTTTTAGATCTTCTCCTAGATCCGTTGTCCCCAAGAGGGTTGAGTGATAACCAATCATATGTCCTTAATTTTACCAATGTCGACAGCTGGGCGAAGTCCCACGCAATGCTTCGCGACGTTCGTGAATCAAATTGTAAACTGCAGCCGTAGGGAAACGACGCGTGTCACTTGGCGTGTAAACGTTTTGTGGACGAATGTGATTTCAAGGAAGTGAGTTAAGTAAGTTCTTTAAAAGGAGGAAGTACGGTCGCATAGACTGTAAAGCCAACTATGGTAAAGCAATTCAAATTCAATTCAAAACGAAGAAACTATAAGACATCGCACTCCAGTCTAAAGACTCACTTATAACAAGAAAACAAAATGAATTGTATCAGCGCCTGAAGAATGTTCTTGGTGTGGCTTCGGTATAAGCAGCAATTGGGATCTCAAGATAGTTTACCGTGAGAATTCAACATCCTGCAAACACTACATTAAAGAGCGTCTAGCGTCAGAACCTAGCAGGAAATCATCATCACCTTCACGGACCAAATGCTACACGCAGGTAGCCATTCAGAAGCATGCACTTTGGAGAAAACCAAAAAAACTAAAATATTTACTAAAAGGTTATTTAGCTGCAGTAAAAAGCTTGAGACTTGAGATTAAAGAAAATCTATAGTGCTTCACGGCCAGATGGAAAACCAGGACTGGACTCTGGACTGGACTGGACTGGACTTTTTTTAGGGCGGTAGTTTGTTTGTTTGTTTGTTTGTTTGTTTTTGGGGGTTGGGGGTTGTATCATTTTTTCTAGTCCGTAAAAGAATCGCGTTTTCAACCTTTCGCCAACAGGCTATATTTTTTTCATTTGGGGTAGGGGGAGGGAAGGACTTTACTTTTCTTTTAGTCTGTGTTTTAGTCTTACATTGGTCGCTCTGTTTGACTCACGGCCGTCACGTTTCACTTGAAAGTTGAAGAAAATAGCAGGAGTGGATGTTACGGCGGTTGAAATACCCTAAAAATTATCTCGATATTTTTTGGGGTGCGTTAGGTATTAACAAAAACATGACCTGTTTCTTCTGCGTAATAACCAACCCATGGGCTGGGCTTTGTTTTCGGTATTGTTAGTCGTTGTTAAACGGAGTGGGAATTAATAAAGAATGATTTTCTTCTTTGGAGTCTAGTGCAACATCAGTAGCTGTGCTAGCAATAACGCACAGTGAATGTCAGATGTGCTTTTCTGGCTTTTGGTCACATGCAATACCACGTATGCCTGCAAAACAACCAGCCCATTCATTGTTGGGGGAGAGATCAGATTGCTTCACACCTCATCGGGCCCCACCTCATCTCAATTCGAGACCAGCGGCTTTGAAAAACCAGTTGCCTTTGTTAAAGTGAGTGGAAATTCGAAGTTACACTGTGAATTACGGTATTTTCATTTACGGGATCGCTTTCGGTATCATGTCAAGAACGTTTTCAGAGGTTGTTGCTGGTAGCCCAGGCTCACCGGTGGAGGAGTCTTGGGTTCGCAAATTTCAAGAAGAAGACGAGGCAGAGGCTCTTGAAAAGGTCTTCAAGTTGAGCAAGGTACGGTCGAGTATTCAGTAAGGATGACTAGCTTTACGACTTTATCGGCGGAGAACGGCCGCGGAGAACATTTTTGCTACAGGCCCCTATATGAAGCACTGGACATTCAAAAGAAAGTTCTGTGACACGGTTTTCACTCCAGAGAAGGGAGCAAAG